ATGGTCGACACGTCCCATGGTCGACACGTCCCATGGTCGACACCTCCCATGGTCGACACGTCCCATGGTCGACACGTTCCATGGTCGACACCTCCCATGGTCAACACGTTCCATGGTCGACACCTCCCATGGTCGACACGTTCCATGGTCGACACGTCCCATGGTCGACACGTCCCATGGTCGACAACCTCCCATGGTCGACACGTTCCATGGTCGACACCTCCCATGGTCGAGCACGTTCCATGGTCGACACCTCCCATGGTCGACACGTTCCATGGTCGACACGTCCCATGGTCGACACGTCCCATGGTCGACACGTCCCATGGTCGACACGTCCCGTGGTCGACACGTCCCATGGTCGACACGTTCCATGGTCGACACCTCCCATGGTCGACACGTCCCATGGTCGACACCTCCCATGGTCGACACGTCCCGTGGTCGACACGTCCCATGGTCGACACGTCCCGTGGTCAACACCTCTCATGGTCGACACGTTCCATGGTCGACACCTCCATGGTCGACACGTTCCATGGTCGACACCTCCCATGGTCGACACGTTCCATGGTCGACACCTCCCATGGTCGACACGTCCCGTGGTCGACACGTCCCATGGTCGACACGTCCCGTGGTCGACACCTCCCATGGTCGACACGTTCCATGGTCGACACGTCCCATGGTCGACACGTTTTCAAAATCCTAAATTCATGAAGCGAAAATAAAATTACATGGCATTTTATTTTTGAGGGACTGATGATGATGATGATGATGATGATGATGATGATGATGATGATGATGATGATGATGATGATGATGATGATGATGATGATGATGATGATGATGATATGATGATGATGATGATGATGATGATGATGATGATGATGATGATAATAATAATAATAATAATAATAATTATTATTATTATTATTATTATTATTATTATTATTATTATTATTATTATCACAACAACAATAACAAAAACCAAAATTGTTCATATTCAGAAATAATAATTAAAATAATAATGCTTATTTATAAGAAATTATAATAAAAATCCCGGTAAATATTAATAAAAAGAACTGGGGAATATTAATAAAAAGAACTGGGGAATATTAATAAAAAGAACTGGGGAATATTAATAAAAAGAACTGGGGAATATTAATAAAAAGAACTGGGGAATATTAATAAAAAGAACTGGGGAATATTAATAAAAAGAACTGGGGAATATTAATAAAAATAACTGGGGAATATTAATAAAAATAACTGGGGAATATTAATAAAAAGAACTGGGGAATATTAATAAAAAAAACTGGGGAATATTAATAAAAAAGAATGGGGAATATTAATAAAAAGGAACTGGGGAATATTAATAAAAAAGAACTGGGGAATATTAATAAAAAGAACTGGGGAATATTAATAAAAAAGAACTGGGGAATATTAATAAAAAAGAACTGGGGAATATTAATAAAAAGAACTGGGGAATATTAATAAAAAGAATGGGGAATATTAATAAAATAACTGGGAATATTAATAAAAAGAACTGGGGAATATTAATAAAAAGAACTGGGGAATATTAATAAAAAGAACTGGGGAATATTAATAAAAAGAAACTGGGGAATATTAATAAAAAGAACTGGGGAATATTAATAAAAGAACTGGGGAATATTAATAAAAAGAACTGGGGAATATTAATAAAAAGAATGGGGAATATTAATAAAAAGAACTGGGGAATATTAATAAAAATAACTGGGGAATATTAATAAAAATAACTGGGGAATATTAATAAAAAAGAACTGGGGAATATTAATAAAAAGAACTGGGGAATATTAATAAAAAGAACTGGGGAATATTAATAAAAATAACTGGGGAATATTAATAAAAATAACTGGGGAATATTAATAAAAAAGAACTGGGGAATATTAATAAAAAAGAACTGGGGAATATTAATAAAAAGAACTGGGGAATATTAATAAAAAGAACTGGGGAATATTAATAAAAAGAACTGGGGAATATTAATAAAAAACTGGGGAATATTAATAAAAAGAAACTGGGAATATTAATAAAAGAACTGGGGAATATTAATAAAAAGAACTGGGGAATATTAATAAAAAGAACTGGGGAATATTAATAAAAGAACTGGGGAATATTAATAAAAAGAACTGGGGAATATTAATAAAAAGAACTGGGGAATATTAATAAAAATAACTGGGGAATATTAATAAAAAGAACTGGGGAATATTAATAAAAAGAACTGGGGAATATTGATAAGAAGAACTGGGGAATATTAATAAAAAGAACTGGGGAATATTAATAAAAAGAACTGGGGAATATTAATAAAAAGAACTAGGGAATATTAATAAGAAGAACTGGGGAATATTAATAAAAAAAACTGGGGAATATTAAGAGGAAAAATCAGAATTAGCATATAAAAGAAAGCGGAAGTGTAATAGGCAGACGGAGAAGAAATTGGAGAGAAGGAAGGGGAAAAGGAGGAGGACAGAGAAAGGGGAGAGGAAGGAAGAAAGAGAAAGGGGGAGGAAGGGGAAAGAAGTCTTGGAGGAGGAGGAGGAGGAGAAGGAGGAAGAAACAAAGTCTACAGAAATAGTCGACAACCCGAAACTTTCCCCACTCCCCTTTTCTTCCTCTCCCCCCTCCCCTCTCCCCCTCCCCTCTCCCCCCTCCCCTCCTCCCCCCTCCCCTCTCCCCCTCCCCTCTCCTCCCCCCTCCACCCGAAAAAAATATATGAGATGCTCATTAATCTTCATCAAGACACTCATTAACGGATAATGAGGAGATTTATGGTTGTTAGTACAGCTTCCAGCGTCCTCTCCTCCTTGTACACACACACACACACCATACACACACACACACACACACACACACACACACAACACCACACACACACACACACACATACACACACACCACACACACACACACACAACACACACACACACACACACGCACACACACACAATCACAAAACCTAGACTGGGATAATTTTATCCTGTATGTGGATAGCAAAGATAAGGAAGGTAAAAAACAAGAAAGAGAGAGAGAGAGAGAGAGAGAGAGAGAGAGAGAGAGAGAGATGAGAGAGAGAGAGAGGAGGGAATGAACCAGCAAGACTGGACCTAGTATTTACCATGAGTGATTCTGATATTGGTGAGAGAGATCATGAATTTCAAATACCCTGTAGAAGTAAGCATTCATAATAATAATAATAATAATAATAATAATAATAATAATAATAATAATAATAATAATAATAATATTTTATTTCAGCATGATACAATGTTCACACAGAGATGGGTGACACTTAGATGTGTACGTAGAATGCTCCTAGTTTTGCACAACATTTCGGGCAAACTGAAGCCTGTCCCTTCAGTGTCAATAACTGACTGATTATACATATACAGAGTGAGGGAAGAATATCAGCTGTGGATGAAAGATGTTTATATATATTATATATATATATATATATATATATATATATATTATATATATATAATATATATATATATATATATATTATATTATATATATGTATATATTTCTCGTGTTTACTCCTTTACCTACTGCATTTAATTTTCTCCGGTTAAATGAATGGAGGATGATCCACTTTGGTGAGTACAGCGGTGCCAGAGCGGAGTGAAATTTCTGAGAGGCGTAGTTTATCAGCGTAGTTTACCAGAGGGGAAGTCAGAGACCTTCTGGCAGCGTAGTTTAACAAGACTAGAGGGGGAAAATCCGGAGTAAGAAAATATGTTATTCTTGAGAGTAAGAAGATAAGACGGTGAGGCAGCTTGACTTCAACACCAGCATCACATTTCTTGGCTTCCTCTCTTATCTTCTCCCACTGGTGGATGCTTACTTTAAGACACACACACACACACACACACACAAACACACACACACACAACATATACACACACACACACACACCACACAACACAACACCACACACACACACACACACACACCACACACACACACACACACACACACAACACAAAACACACACACACACACAAGCACACCAGGGAGCTGTGACTCGACTTCTACAACAAAATAGTTGAGTACAATGGTAATATCTCTGAAAACATATATTCATGGGCTAAAACTTAATTGTACCAGCTGGGTCTTATTAAAGAAATAA